TCGTCCATCTCAGTACAATACCAGGCGTGTAGTAGAACCTTAAAGAATAGTTGTTAAGTAAATGAGAGCTCACAATAGAGCTGATAGTGAGCTGAATAACTATTTTGTTATTTACTATCAAAACACAAATGAGGATCCCCTATAACACTTTGTCCTTTCTTCTTTCTGTTAATCTCTTTAGAACAAGTATAACCATTGGCTATCCTTCCTTCTTGGGGTGTGAGCCACTACCCTCGTTAACAGCCGTTCCTCCATCCAAGAAATGTATAATCAGCAGGACGATAGTTCATCCCCCATAATCCCAATAGTTTTGCTAATACCATTGTAGACCACTTTTTCATGGGCAATTCTACCAAATCCAAAACTACATATCATGACTTGTAAATTGACAAAGCAGGTAGGAGGATGGAACAGAAGACAAGCAACATCACAAGGCATGAGGACATCTATTGTATACCAGACCTATTTTTGTGGCAATTTTTCTTAAACTCTGTAACTTTATGAAGTAAATATTATTACTTCCATTTTGCAGATATTGAAGCTTAGAACTTTATGGAACATATCCCAGGTCAAAAACCACTTTCCAATGTTTTATCATGACGCTTTTCAGGCATAAGAAAAACCTAGATTCTATAATTAACATTTTACTATGTGTGCTCATTTACCCAGCTATCTGCATACCAATTCTTCCACATTGTTCCATTACATTTTATGCATATCAAACTAAGTTGAAATATTTCAGTATGTGTGTTATTAACTTGAGTTTAATATTTGTTTAGGTTCTCTTTTCTTTTTCCTTTTAGACATTTTACATGCAATGAAGTGCACCATTATATGCACTTCATTGGGTACCATTATATGAATTCAAAAAAGCTCATACGTATGTACAATCCAAATCCCTTTTAAGTTACAGAACATGACCATCATCCCAGAAAGTTCCTTTACATGTCTTCTGAGTAAATTTCCACCTCAACCTGTAGAAGTACTAATGTTTTGATTTGCTTCCATGTGAGTTACTTCTGCCTGTTGTACCTCTTCTTATAATGGAATCATAGAGTATGTATTCTCTGTATGGCTGCTTTCACCAAGCATAATTTTGAGATTCATCCATGGTTTTGTGTGTATTAGTAGTTCATTCTGCTTATTTCTGAATAGCATTCCACTGGTGAATATACCACAGTTTATTTATCCATTTTCCTACTGATAGATACCTGGGTTGTTTTGTTTGGGCTATTATAAATAAAGATGTGATGAGCATTCTTGTACAAGTCTTTTTGCAAAACATAACATTTCAAAGCACAGTGGTCCAAGTCTATTTGATTCCAAAATCCACATGTTTTCCACTACACCCTATGGCCTCTCTGCAGTGCATCCCATTGCACTATGTTTATGTGAAATGTACCTCCGGAGGATTTTTGTTTTGTTTTGTTTTGTTTTGTTTTGTTTTGTTTTGTTTTATCCTAAAATGGCTCGTTACACTGCAAACACAAATGGGGAAATGTGACTTTTAGACAAAAAATATCCAGATACAAATTTAGCCCTTTATTAACCATATTTCAATAAAATACTCATCCTGGTATGATTTTTTTGAAGAGTATTTGTTATTTTACCTGTTTATACCATCTAAATAACTCCTTTCTCTAAAAGTTTTTAGTATAACTATTTTCTTACATGTAGAATAATACCAATCATAACATATTGATTAAAGCTCCTCAGATTACAGAAGTATGGTTAAATTCATTATGATATGTCTGCTTGATATAAAATTATATAATAAATCATTAAAAGATAGCAATGCAAGGAAACATTATTTCTATTATTGTAGATGGGAAAATCAGAGTAGAAAATTGCATGCTGACTACCATTACATTAATTTTTAAAATTATATGTGTGCATTGGTAGAGACTAGAAGGGAACTTGGAAAAATTGAAAATAACTAATATATTGGAATGGTAATCTTAGGCCACATTAAGGAATTTAGACCAATCCTAACTGTGCGTAAACTATGTGTAAAAAGTATTATCTGAAAAAGTTGTTTTCTTAATGTTGTTATACTATTGTATGTCTAAGCGTAAATCTGAAAAAAGTTCTTCAAATTTAGGGCCGCTATATACTATTGTACAATTTATACACTATACAACTATAGGTGGCCATTCGCATTCATAGAGAGCAGAGGTTTCTTTGTTAATTTATAAAACAAATTTTCCAGAAAATGATTTTTAAAAATACCAAAAAAGGGGCAGCTTTTTCTTATTTGTACAATGATGCATTTGGGCAACTAACAGGGCTGTTCAAATTATAAACTTTTTTTAATCGTAGTGTCTTAACTGTTAGTTTAGTCTATGTCTGCTTTCGTACTGCCTAACTATATAAAATGAGTACTCTTCTCCATTTGATTACTATTTTTCCAAATAAATTATTTCTAATTTTCAGATCTTCTTTGGTACTGTTACCGTGTTCTTTGAATGAAGGTATTCACGCACACGCAAAGATTTATTCAATGACTAAGCCTTTCCTTTAGGTTATACTTACTTTTACACCA